AACACAGGATGAGTAGAAAAGCAGCCCACATGCAATTGCTTTCCATGTCCAGCAGAGGACGGCAGAGATCAACTTCAGTCGGGACGCTAAAAATTGAGCTGCTTTTTTGGTTGAAGTGGCAGACATTAGTCATTAGTCAGGGGAAGTCTTCAAATCACTAGCTTTAAAATAAAGATATGACTGATGGCCTTGTCACAGATACATATGTTTATGTGCCTATGTCTAAATCTCTCCCTGACATAGATGTCTGAGCACAGACAGAGCAGACGGACGGACAGACAGACAGGCAGACGGTGAGAGAAAGATAGACGAAGAGGCAGACATAGTCTATCTCACATAGTGTGAGGTCATCATCACGATTGGAAAGCGGCGATTACAGCACGCTCTAACCCTTGAGCTACGCAATGCTGTTTTTACTCGACCCAACGCCTGGGAATCCCATCTTTAAGCGTATCCATTAACAGATCAAGCTGTTATAGCTGTCATACGCACAGCACAAAGCAGTCTGGTGCACTGACGCACTGTAAATAATAAGCATTATCTTGCCATTTACAAATTTGGTGAACAGCAGAATTAAACGAATTTAGCAATGCGCGGCCGCTGCTTGTTATTTATCATATTAAGATATTTTTTTGAAAGAAAAGATTAATTTTATTCAAAAAGGACATTAAATTGAGCAAGTGTGACAGTAAAGACATTTATAATTTTACAAAAGTTGTCTATTTCAAATAAATGCCATTCTTTTGAATTTTTTTATTCATCCATCAAAGAATCCAGAAAAAAATATCTAGAACTTTTTTCAACGTTGATGTTTTAATTGTTATTTTAAATTGTAACAATAATAATATTAATTAACATTATTATCGATTTTAATGTAGTTTTGATCCCCAAAAAATCAAACCACTCCCAAGCTTTACTATATAAATAATAATAAATATAAATTATATAAGAATAATATAATTGATTTATAATATTATTTATAACATTTAGTGCTGTCAAATCGATTGGTGACAATTAATCAAACCTAACATAAGTTTGTGGTTACATAATATAAGTGCGTATATATATATATATATATATATTATATTATAATATCGCATCCAAAAATAAAAGTTTTTGTTTACATAATACATGTGGGTGCACTGTGTATAATTATTTTGTATATGTATAAATACACACACATGCATGTATATTTAAGAAAAAAATATTATTTATATAAAATATTGATATTTATATATAATATAAATTATATATAAATCTATATACAGTATATACATGAAAATAAATACAAGGATGTGTGTGTATTTATATAGATAAAATAACTATACACAGTGCACCCACATATTATATTATATACATATATTATGTAAACGCAAACTTTTATTTTGGATGCGATTAATCGCGATTATATGTATATATATATATACTGTATATATTAATGAAAAATTGTAAACTTGTACTATGTATAAATATGTGTAGGTATACAGTATATACACACATTCACTTTTACGTATATATATATACATACATATATAAACAAAAACTTTTATTACATGCAATTAAGTAAAAAATGTCCAATTTGACAACACTAATTATTTGATATGTTTTTTTTAATATTTTTAAATGAATGTAAAAGGTGACAACAATACTTCACAAAGCTTAAACCAACATAAGCTGGTTTGTTGGTCTTAGCTGATTTCAACTGGTCTCTTACGTTGTTTAGCTGGTTGGCCAGGTGGTCTACCACCTTAACCAGCTCAATACCAGTCAACACACCAGGCTGGACCGACAAACCAGTTTAGTTTGAATTTAAGATGTTGTTTTCATAATCGAAATGCAGGGCAAAAATAAGAGCACAAATCAAACTGCAGAAGATGTCATACATATCTTTAGGGCTTTATAAAGCACAAAAAGCATTTTTATGTTTGCTGCTTAGTATTTAAGCTTTGAAAAAGCACGCTTGTGTGGACGAGAGGACGAAGCATCGATCATTCGGAGCCCAGCTCAAGCACTCTCCTGTACCACAAGTCAATAGTGCTTAGATTCTGCTGGGCAGACAGCGCTGCTAATGAAAAAGATCAATACTAATGATATATTAATACTTTCACTGGCCCAACATCACTCATCCTCTAATCCCACCTGCAGTAAAGGCCTGGGTTTCATGAAAAATGGCCTATCTATTTTTCATCCATCTATCACGCAGAAGGCCATTACCCTCTTCGATATCTTTCAGTTTTGATTCGCCCCCCTGGACTCCCTGCGTACACAAACAGTGACGGAACCGCATTAAGACGGAGGACAAATAAGTGCGAATGTTCCCCTTTGTCTCTTTTCCAGCGAGGTCGTAAGTGATTCTGAAGTCTCTAAATGCGTTGTTCGCCCCTTAAAACAAACCTGGCCCGCGTTCCCAGAAAACACCGTCTTTCTGCAGATCCAGGCTGCTATTGTTCTGGTTTTGATCCGATTACAGACGATGGAGTTTGACCACAGCTATGCGAGCGTCGTGTCGTGTGCAACGCGAAGGCTCGGGGTTCGATCCACGCTCAAAAATAAAGCCGCTCGAAAAACAAGCGAGGATCAGACTCCACACTGCTGGGATGAGAAAGCATGAATTATAGAATAATTACAGGGTTTCATTTTCCACCGCTCACAGTGACTTTGAGCTTTGAGGGAAAAATATTTGGCCCGTGAGTCACAGATCGCCTGACTGCAATGAGTAAGAAATTTGATTTTCATAAGCAGCCAGATCTATTTAAAAGAGAGACCTTGGCGTGATTGATTTTGGAAGAGAGGATGAAGAAGTGTGTGAAGGAACGCCTGAGGGTGTAGATTAGGCGGGAGGAACATAAAGGCGGCGGTTCTTTCTGGTCATGTGCTGCCAAGCTGTGCCTCAGAGCTCCCAGAGGGCTTTGCAGCAGGGGAGTGGGTGGGCGGGGCAGTGAGGAATCTTGGGATGGAAGTCTGGTCTCCATTACAGAGGTCTGATGGGGGTCTCTCTTTTTTTGCACTTACAGTATGAATTCCCACTTACACACACCTACATCATGTAGGCTATACCTACTAGCACATATAAATACACACACACACACACAGACAGAAGAATACATAAAGACACAGAGGTGCTCTTTCATGCACATGCTCTTGTGAAATACACACTCGTGTTCACACACTTACAGACACAGACACGGTTTAGTGCATGACACAAGGATAGAGAGAAGCAGAGGAGACAGACCCTGGTCCTTGAAGGCCATCAGTCCCAGATTTTTGATGCCACAGGGTCCTAAAAAACACAATTTGGTTTTCATCTTAAGAGCGCAGTTTTGATTGATTGTAGAATGATTATATTTGAAGACTTACAATGCAAAGACACTGCATGCACTAAGCCATGAGCAAACAAGTAAAGGACTTCAATAGCTTACACGTACACAAACAGTACACATTTATGCATGCATACATACAAAATACTAAGAAACACGCATGCCCTCCTTCATTATGCTTTTGTTCTGAATCATTTATAGTAAACAGAAAATCAAGGCAGCAGTTCACTACAGGAAATCCTAAATTGTTGTCTTACCTCCTGAGTTATTAAATGACTGAGCTGTGCCATCGGCATCTGCTAAATGACAAGTGATCAAATCAGTATTACCCCAGACAAGCTGTTTAGCTACGTCAAGAGCACTCAAAACATGCAGGGAACAGGGAACAGACAGAAATGATGTGAGCTGGCACTTATTTATCTGTTCCTGCAGTGCAATTTTGAAAGGAAACAGAATTTACAACTACCTTTTTTGACGTAAAAATGCCAAAGTATTTGCCAATGACTTTTATGTTAAAATGCTTTTTTTTTAAATCAATTTCTTACATTGCTTTTAGAATTAATTCAATTCTGTAGGTTAAATAGAAAAAAATAGAAAGGTCAAAAACAAGATCAGGAACAAAAAAAACAAAAAAAAAATCTTGAAAATTAAAGCTACAATATGTAATTTTTATTAGCTAACCTCTTAAGGCCTGTTCACACCGTGACGAATTTCGCGCGCGTTATTCACCGATGTTTAACGCCTCATGACTAAACAAAGGGTGCCAATGTGAGTGTACACACCGATGAGTAAAACGCCACGCGTAAAAGCGTCATTTTTAAAAAAACGCCTCAGGTTCATGGCGCTTTTGCTCACGTGTTTGGAGCTTCAAAAGAGACAGTAAAACATAACTTGGGGGCGCTCAAACACAAAACGGTCTTGCCGAGCACACATATGCAACGGTGAAGAAGATATACGCGTCGCCGTCTACACAACCAGGAAAAAATTAGACGAGGAAGATGCAAGGCAAGATTGCCTTGAAAGGAAACAGAATTTAAAACTACCTTTTTTTTGATGTAAAAATGCCAAAGTAAAGGCATTTAACAGTATGTAGAGCTGCTGTTCTCGGTGCTAGAACATAAAGAACTATATGACAAACGCGTCAGGGACTACAAACATCTTGATAAAAGAGAACTGTTATGGAGTGGTATTGCAGGGCAAATTGGCACCATCTAATGTCAGGGAATGAATTTGCATGTTCACTCAGCTCATCGTGAGGGTGTGAACACAAAAAACGTGTTGAAAAACGCTGACGAATAACGCGTGCTGATATTCGTCCTGTTGTGTACAGGCCTTTACAATAACAACGGCGTAGGTTGATGATGCAGTGATAAGTGGAATGATGGAACTTGCTGTCATGTTGATGGATCTAATAATGTTTATGGATGAGTGAAAACATTTATGTTTTTTAACAGGACTGTGGTATGAAGCAGGTCGCGATTGCTAATAAGAGACCCGCGAGTCCCGTGGATATAAAGGAATAAGGACGTTTAATACTAGCAAACTACACGCAAGTGCCAAATTAATACTCAGTTTATTTGACAAATTAAACTTGAGGTAACGTTAACGCAGCGATGTTTCACTTGGTCTAACTAAGTTACACTATTATATTTAACTTTAGCATTTAACTTTGAACTTTGTGTTAAAAGTTGTTTTTCTATGTGTTAATTTGTTGCCTAGATGAGACTAACAGTAAGCTAGATCAACGGTAGAATAACATACCGATCATATTCTAACATTTCATCATGTTGAGCTATATAACATTGATTTGTTTAATGTACATTTGCTCACCTGTCTAATAAAGTACATGCAAGAGCGGCGTCCCTGTCAAGTTGTGCCTCGTGAAGCTCTGTATTGATCGTTTTAGTTCTCCTTTTGTCCCAAAGTCTGCTTGCCATGGTCCATAATGTTTAAACGAAACAACGTATGTCATATATCCACGTATGTCGCCATGGTTACTATGACAGTACAACGGAAACCAGGAATAACGTGTATATTACGTCCTTGACAGGCAACAATTGAACATGGACGGGCACTTTTTAAAATTGTGAATATGTCTGAATTTACACATTTAGGATAAACATTTAGGATAATGGAATTATACAATTGATAGAAATATATAACACGGTGCAAGTAGTTCTTAAAAATTGTGATACAAAGTTCTTACCTGTAAGTATAATAATATAAAAAAAAAAATTATATATTTCCATTACTGTAATGCATAATAAATAAATTGATAAAAATACATTACATGTTACTTTGCTCTTTATTTTATTAAAAACACTGCCCTACAATAGTTCATAAAAATATTACTTACTGGAATCATCATTGAGAATAATAAGAAAAAACAACAAAAAAAACAACAACAACACATTACAATAATGACATATTTTGGGGAAAATGTGCTCAGTTGTCATGAATAAATAATGTGGCAATGCAGAAATGTCCTAATAATAGGCCTCATTTTCTTTATGCAAAATATTACGTTTTTCTATTGTGGGATGAAATCTGATCTAGACATGATTTTGTGAGATTCACTCTACCACTTTGGCTTGACCCATAAGAAAAGATGCCGGTGGCACCACTTTATCATCTCTCGGCTCAGGAGATACTAAAACATTTTTTAGTGAACTGCTCCTTAAAGCATCATATATTTTGGTAGTGGCTGTCAATCAAAATATTAGCAAGAGGAAAGATTATGCAAAAAAAAGCACACACAGAAGTATTGTGGAAAGTGGAAAACACATGTACACATTCACGCACGCACACACACACACAAACTAAGACCTACTGAGCTCCAAAAAAACAAATTTTAGGCATGCACTAACTGATCGAAACTTCACACACTCATACACAAATCCTCAATCACTCCAGCTCTCACCTCCAAGTCCTCACGGTGCGAGCGATCCCTGTCCTCAAAATCACGAGTCCTTCTGCGGGCTTCCTCAAAGGCTGCTTGGGCTAGAGCATCCTCCTGCTGTATAAACACACAAAAAGACAGGAAGCCAGACGGCGGTCAGTCATTTCTGATGCACGCAAGGAAACGAGAGGCATTTTGACAGCACAAGGTGGTTTATCTGTACCTGTGCTCTCTCATCATCATATTCCAGACAACCCATCCCATCCAGACGCTGAAGATCAATCCATCCTTTCCAGATCACACACACTCCATTCAGGATCATAGGAGCCTTCAGGTACACCTGGACACACGCACACACACTTCGTTATTATGGGTATTATGACATACACACACCAGCACAATAACAACAACAATAATAAAAAGAAAAATGAGATGGAATCTGTAGAAAGTGTTGCATTTTCTGAGCAGATTTAGAAGAGAAATTGGAAGAATTTTGGGAAAATGTCCTAATTGCCGAGTGACATCTCAATTCTCAAGAGGGAAAACATCTTGAGCAGTATGGCACAATGTTTTGTTATTTATTATCCCCCCACCCAAACACAATACAGATATTTTATTCAAATACCATAAAAAAAATAGGGCTGTCAAACGATTAATCGTATCCAAAATAAAAGTTTGTGTTTACATAATATATGTGGGTGCACTGTGTATAATTATTTTATATATATATATATATATATATATATACACACATATACACACACATGCTTGTACATATTTCAGAAATATTTTCATGTATATACTATAGGGCTGTCAAACAATTAATCGCGATTAATCGCATCCAAAATAAAAGTTTGTGTTTACATAATATATGTGGGTGCACTGTGTATAATTATTTTATCCTGTATATATTTATAAAATACACACCCATGCATGTATATTTAAGAAAAAAATATTATTTATATATAAAAAATGTATATTTACACATCATATAAATTATATATAAATCTAAATACAGTAAATACATGAAAATATTTCTTAAATATATACAAGCATGTGTGTGTATTTATATATATATAAAATAATTATACACAGTACCCCCACATAAACACAAACTTTTATTTTGGATGCGATAAATCGCGATTAATCGTTTGACAGCCCTAATATATCATTTATATTATATATAAATATACATATTTTATATATAAATAATAATTTTTCTTAAATGCATGTGTGTGTGTGTCTGTGTGTGTATATACGTATATATATATATATATATATATATGTATACACAGTGCACCCACATATATTATGTAAACACACACTTTTATTTTGGATGCGATTAATTGCGATTAATCGTTTGACAGCCCTAATAAGGATGAATTGAAAAAAGAACATGGAAAAAGCAAACATATAGGATAAAAAACCAAACAGACAATGACTGTCATTTCAAAGATTGTTTGACTTTTGAAGAGCATTTTCCCCCAAAAACAAACAAACAAACAATAACATAATTTATGTATGATAAACAAATACTTGTATCTCTTATATGTATACTCGTATTATCAAGGTGTAAGGATTTATGCTTACATTTTCAGGATCATTAACTGTAAACTTGTTAAAAAAAATGGAAATTGGCGCATACATTTTAAACTTCTCTTTTTGAGTCACTGATTCATCTAACAACTACAAGACACTACAGATTAAATGAACTCTCCAGTAAATCCATCTTCTCCACCTACACAGACACAACAAGCGCTTGGAACAGGTGAAATGCTATAACCACCCAATACTCCACAGTTGTATCCGCTTATGAAAACCCCCTCTCAACGTCACACCTGGCTGTTTTGAATTGTAAAACACTTTGTGAGCTGTTCAGTGGAAGTCACTGCCTCAAAACTGGACCATTACAATTTTTTCTGTCCTATCTCAGTCTCAGCCCAGCCAATGTCTGTAGGGCCTCCAATGTTTGCTTCCTGCGATGAGAGTGTTTATTTATAGAGGCCAGCGTAGTAGAGAGTAAGGGTACACCGATGCAGAGACAGGCAAAGCCTGTCTGAATTTATTTATACTGAGCATGGCCAGCGAGTGCACACGGCAGCGCATGATTGCATCCGTGTGTGAGACTCGGATGATGGGTGGGACTATGAATAAGACAAGGTGGACAAAGAGTGAGAGAGATGTTGAGAATGTGGAGACAGGGGTATATGACTGTCTGTCTGGCTCAGAGCCACAGGAATATCACATCTCTGCCACTGAGGAATCCAGGCTGAGACAAAAGTGTGCAGTCTGTCGGCCTGTGGGTGCTGTTTATTTCTGTAACTGCAGTGAAAGAGGCCAGCTATAAATGCATACACATATGCACGTATCCACAGCGTTACCCGCCAAAACCAAATAAGAGCGAAAAAAGGCGAGAAACGCAGGAACACTGCGGTGTGTTGTTGGACACACTGGGCGCTGGTGACTGCTGGAGCGACCTGCCAGACAAACACACTCCGCCAAAGCAGACACAACATGAGCTTTGTCTGACTTTACTGCCGTCCTTTAAGCATCTGTGTGTGTGGAGGAACTGCTTTTGGAGTCAGTTCAGAGGGGAAACTGCTGTCTGCCCTGGTTTCATACCCACTAAATTCACCACATCGATGTGAATGTCGTCTGGCATAAATATAGCTCACCAATTCATTTATCAAACACTAACTTTCCTATTCGAGGAAAAAAAAGGTACATGTTTTAATACATATGAAGAGTTCAGATGCAAAAGCCTCTAAATGCCATTTGAAATTTTCTTCTTTAATGATGATTTTTATCAAACTTGTATATTTAAGTTCAGTGATTTCACTTAAATGGCAATGATAATTACCTATTAATTGTTATTTAAGTGAAATTACTGAACCCAAATATACAAGTTTGATAAAAATCATCATTAAAGAAGAAAATTTCAAATGGCATTTAGAGGCTTTTGCATCTGAACTCTTCATATACACTACACAAAGAAGTCTCCAATGATCACCAATGCTGCATTTATATGATCAAAACTACAATAAAAACAATAATACTTTTTGTAAATTATTCTTAAAATAACGGTGTATTTTGTTTTCAAATCGATCGTATATGGCGCTGGTATAAGTCTAGCAATCGCGCCCTGCTTCACACCAGTCATGTTACAAACATCAGTGTATTCACTCATCCATAAAAGATCCATCAGCTTGACGGCAAGCAGTGATGCGCGGGTCAATGTATAAACAAACCGCAACCGACCGACGTTTTCAGCTACCCGCCCGCAACTCGGACCGCAAAAAAAAGTAAAAAAACATTGTACCCGACCCGCTTCCTGGCCGCATTTTTTAAAAGTAGTAAATGCTCATCGCAGCGTTATTGGGCCATAGACGTGTAACAACACAGCATCGCAAGAAGACGTAGGCCTACACATAACAAAGGCAAAGCCAGCACTTTCGCCATCATCTTTCATTATTTCAGCAAATGTCTCCCACACTTTTACTCTTTCTATTTGTGTATTTGCGGAGCTTCCACTCCCCAGTCTTCACCTTTTCTCTTGCCGCCTCCATCTCTCTGCAGACTGTAGTGATCGTAGACATGGCCGGTTCGTGAACGAATCGTTCTTTTGAACCGGTTCTTTTTAGTGAACCGGTCGAACCAGTACACTAAATCGAACTGAATCGTTCGAAACAGTTCGCGTCTTGCGTCAGTGCTGATCCACAAGTTACTGAAGTTACTCACTTTCAGACATGCCTGACAGTCGCCTACGAATCGAAATAAATCAATATCCAGAATTATATTTTACTCCAGTAACTCCAACAGTTCACTGAACCGAGACATGTTGGTGCCACTGTTGAGAGAAGTGATGAACACGAGCAGCTGATACTGCGCATAGATACTGCGTACTACCGAACGCACAGGGACAGCGGTTCTCCAATCACCAGTATAGAACCGAGAACTGTTTAGACTGAGCTTGTGTGTTATCTTCGTGCCAGTTATTCAGCCAATAATGTGTAGGGCTGTATATTTCATCAAAAATTGTGTCTAGTACTATATACAAATGTTTAATTGGCATCTTTTTTCAAACGACCCGACCGACCGCGACCCGAATATCATTAAAAACATTTTTGGATGACTCGTAACTGCGGGTAACCGCGGGTGACCGCAGGCACCCGCTCATTTCGGATCAACCCGCGCATCACTGACGGCAAGGTAGATAATATACGTCATCAATATCTGCCTTAGTTATTGTAAGAGGTTAGCGACCCCTGGTGGCGAAAAAAATCGTGCATATTGTACCTTTAAGTAGCTTTTAAAAACGAGCCTTAGAAAAAAAAACATTACTGGTGTGCCATATTTTAAGATATATGCATTTTAATCTGGGACTAGGCTTAAGCCTTGTCTGTGAAACCGGGCATCAATCTTTTTAAAAGTATTTCCATGTGTATATCCACCTCAGATGTAAAAACATCAGTCCAAAAAAAAGTGATATGAAAAAACATGTGAGTATTTTCACACCTGAGGAAACGGCTGCTTTCCTGTCAGCAGTGAAGGGCTTTTCTGACTATGTTCCCTTTCTAAAAACCTCACTGGAACCGTGTACCTCGTCCACCCCCACCTGCCCTCCTGAAACTCCTTCCCCATGTTTCCTTACAGGATGTGCCATCGGCTGTGATCTGTGTCCCCCTCAGCAGTAAAACACAGGTAGGAAAAATAAAGCCTGCTCAGTTCTGCAGGGTTTATCTAAACATCAGTGAAGGCCATGAGTCAACGGTCTGACTGAAATCATATCCTTAGCCACACTGTGATTTTAACTTAAAAGATGCAGGGTCATGAATACTCATGTCTAGATAATGCTAGGACGTGTTTACAGTGTAATTAAAGAGCAAATTTAAAGCAAAGTGCCGAGTAATCAAAAAAGCATAATATTCCTAACATAGCTGAAATATATGGAAGAGGATTAGGCCCAAGCATTAATACAGAAAAAATAAAACCATCTCGAGATTAAAGTCGACTTTCTTCTCGATATTTAATGAGTTTATTCTCAAGATTGCATTTCGTCTTTTTTCTCAAAATTTAACAAGTTTTTTCTCGAAACAACGACTGTATTCTCAATATTTAATGAGTTTATTCTCAAAATTGTATTTCGACTTTTTTCTCAAAATTTATTGTTTTTTTCTCAATGCACGACTTTATTCTCGATATTTAATGAGTTTATTCTCAAGATTGCATTTCATCTTTTTTCTCAAAATTTAATGAGTTTTTTCTCGAAAAACAGCGACTTTATTCTCGATATTTAATGAGTTTATTCTCAAGATTGTATTTTGACTTTTTTCTCAAAAT